TCTTGACGACTGAATAAAAAAAAGAACTTAAATTCATTTGTAAATTGTTCTGTTATTGATACAGTGACTGAAATTTAATTAGTTTTGGTTAGCATATGGAATAATCCACATTATTTCATCTTGAAATAAACCGTATTCCAGTTGTCCAAATGAAAGGTTGTCGGAACTCAGTAGCTAAATAGATAACATGACATCATTTGATACATTTGGTACTAGTTCGAGTCCAGCAGTGAACTCATCAGTGTGACATGTTTTACTAACTAGCTTACGCATGTTACCCCCCCCCCCAATGGAGCTTAGGCCACCGAATAGTATTCTCCAACCCACTCTGTCCAAAGGCGCCCTATCCAGCTCTGTCCAAATTTTGTTCATGTTTTGCATGTCTTTCTCTATATCTCGAAGTAATGTGTTCCTTGGCCTTCCTATTTTCCTTTCACCTTGAGGGTTCCAAGTGAGGGCTTGTCTTGTGACGCTTTGGGTGGTTTTCGTAATGTTAGCCTATCCAATTCCACCTTCTCCTGATTCCCTCCTCCACTGGAATCTGCGTTTGTTCTCTCCCACAGTACGTTGTTGCTGATTGTGTCTGGCCAACGAATACGAAGTATTTTGCGTAAGAGAACTGTTAATAAATACTTGTATCTTCTGGATGATGCCTTTCGTAGTTCTCCAAGATTCCGCTCCATACAGTAGAACTGTCTTCACATTTGTATTGAAAATTCTGATTTTGGTTTTGGTTGAAAGTTGTTTGGAGTTCCAGATATTTTTCAACTGTAGAAATGCAGCCCTTGCTTTGCCAATCCGTGCCCTCACATCTGCATCGGATCTACCTTGACTGTCGATGATGCTGCCTAAATAATTAAAGATTTTTACATCTTCCAAGGCATCTCCATCGAGACTGATTTGGTTGGTGCATGTTAGGTTGTATAGGAGAATCTTTCTTTTCCATTTGTGTATGTTGAGACCTGCTGCTGCTGGGGCTGCTGATACACTGGTTGTCTTCTCTTGCATTTGTTGTTGCGTATGCGATAGAAAACCCAGATCATCTGAGAACTCCAGATTTTCTAGCTGCCTTCTAGCTGTCTATTGTATACCGTGCTTCCTTTCAGATATTGTTGTCTTCATAATCCAGTCGGTCACCAGGAAAAACAGAAAGGATAACAGTAAGTAACCTTGCCTGACATCGGTTTTAACCTCAAACAATTCTATCAGCTGTCATCCATGCACAATTTTGCAGTTTAATCCATCCTAAGAATTCCATATAATGTTGACTATCTTCTCTCAAGCATACCACAGTGTCGCCAAAGTCTTCATACTATTGTCCAATCCACGGCATCAAATGCTTTCACATAATCAATAAACTTTTAATCTATTTTATAAAACCTTTAACCCCTTCATTGAACTAGTTCAATATCCATGTTAAAAAGAACAATCAAACAAACCTAGATTTGTATTCCCTTTTCATTATTCTCTTTCTCTCTCTCTCTCTCCTTCATGTTCTAAATATTTCTTAATGACAAAGTAAAAATATAAATCAGTACTTTCTATATGTTTTATTCATTCGTTCATTTATTCACTGACTTATTCTTCCTGTTATTACTCCTTTTTCCTTTTTTTTTAAAAAAAAAGTATTTTCTTACCATTTATCAAAGAATATTTGGGCGTTTTAATGAACAAGAAAACATAATGTGTATTTGTCTTTTGTTTCAAACAAAATAGAATAAGAGAATAAGGTGAGAAGAAAAAATATACAAATGATCAGAATAATAAAGGCGGCAGTATATTTCTATAAAACTAACTAGTTTGTTTAAGGTGAATACTCTCATATGTTGTAAACTTATTATTAGGGTGGCTTTGTACATATACATATTGATCGATCGATCGACCGATCGATAGATCTAAGGAAGTGTTGTGAACTAGGATTAGATTTTCTTCCATTGGTTCATGATTTATGAGTCATGGTATCATCTGAATTGATGATGAGAATAGTGAACCAATCAGAAATTAGTTTAATGAGAAGGTCATTTAATGACCATCAGAGAATGTCCTTAATGACGAATACATTCTCATTGGTCAAAAATGACTTTCTTTTGTAAGCAGGTGATGTATACGTAGAGACGAATATTTGTGAATGTGACTCGGTAGCCTAATAAACTGATATGCTTACAGTTCACTTTATTCAGTAAACGAAGTGAAGATCAGTGATTTAGCGACTTGATAGGCTCCTCTAATCCGATCGTCCCAGGTCCGTTAATAAAAGGAAGAAATTAAGATATGGCGTAGAGAATGTATTCTACAAGCACTCAGAATGATTGAGGTTCCTAAGCATACGAAACAAGCTTATTTATGCAATGATAAAACGCCTTTAGTGAGAGCCATCAAAATAGCATACTAAAATAATCTATCAAGGATTTTCCGAGTGGGAAATGTAAGCTGAAGGTCAACTGGCGTGAAAATATAGAAATTAAAATTTTCAGAATAAAACTACAAAATTAGGACGTATTCCACGTGAGTTCTAAGTATGTTGTGTACGTTGAGATCTACTACTGTAGGGGCTGCTGATACACTGGCTATCTACGTGTGCATTTGCTGTTGTGGGTTGGGTGAAAAGAATGGATCATCTGCGAAGCCCAGATTGTCCGGCAGCTCCCAAGTTGTCTACTAGATGTCGTGCTTCCTTCAGCTGTTGATTGTTTTATAATCGAGTCAGCCACCTAGAGAATGAGGAAATCTGTTTGAATATTTTACTTTACTTAAAAATGTCACCAACAAAACTCTTCTTATCTTGTAATATTTACTAAATCATAATTGAAATCATGAACTAATCTTAGCTAAACTGCTAACGTAAAGCTGAACTTCCATTTTGTTCTGGTATAAAGATTCCTCAATAGTTCAAACTTATGACTCTGCACAAGGGAATCGAACTTAGCTCCTTCAACCTAAAAAGCTCACACTGAACCTCTTTACCATTGAGTTAGAATTCATTGATGTTAAAATGTCTAACTTTAATCAAACCATGGTCTTGGGAAAAACTTCCTTCATTGACTGTCGCAGAGAATTAGCTCACCTTCAACACAGATTAAATTTCCGAAGTTACAGTTTCTCAATACAGCTTCAAGAATACATTTGGAAACTAGTCATTAGTTAGCACATTATCATTATGAAAAAAGGCACTGAAGATTGCGCAATATTATGGATAGACATTCACACTATTGGATATTGATACAGTGGTCTAGAGGTTCTGAGTTCAATTCTCTCATTCGACATTGTGTATACACATTACAACTGATTGTATAGTCTCATAGTAAGATGAAACACCTTTGCATATCTGGGCAGCATCAACGACAATCAAGGTGGATTTGATGCAGTTGTGAGGGTGCGGATTGGCAAAGCAAGGGTTGCATTTCTACAATTGAAAAATATCTGGAACTCTAATACAACTTTCAACCAAAACCAAAAAGCAGGATTTTCAATACAAATATCAAGACAGTTCTACTGTATGGAGCGGAAACTTGGAGAAATACGAAAACCATCATCCAGAAGATACAAGTGTTTAATAACAATTGTCTACGCAAAATACTTCGTATTCGTTGGCCAGACACAATCAACAACAACCTACTGTGGGAGAGAACAAAC